CACAGGAGCGTGCGAAAACCGTGGTGGATGTAGGAAAAGTTTCACAATGATCGCATTACACGACAAAGCTGTGTATGCGATGAGGGCGTAACAGATAGTTCAATTTTCCCCTACGTACAGAAACATACAGGAATCCAGTGTTTCACCGCAGGTCAAACCAAGGCTCAAGCACGGCCCAACAGTGGAGCTTAGAGTGGAAAAGAATCTGAAGCTCGTGCCGTGATTATAAGAAGTATACTGGTATAAGGGTTTAAACTTTCAGGATCACACCTCCAAGGACCGCATTCGCACTGGGCATGCCAGTTCGGACTGCGCAGCAGCACTCGGCCCTCATTGCTGTCGTGCGCATAGCAGCCGATGCTGCGTGACGCACCCAAGTGGCTGCGGCAACATGTAGTGGTGAGGCGCGTTTCGGGGGACGCCGAGCTGGTTAGCGTGGATCATGACCACGTTCACGTCCCGTTTACGCATGCTGCGGAAAGGAGAGCGGCGGCCTCGGGCGACCGCCCAAGTTCAGCGGCTGCCCCTGATGCACCGACTGCGGCCAACTCTCCGCCCATCAAATCTGTCCGGATGCTACTGCTTACGCAAGGGTCCACTGCCCCGCAAATGCGGTATACCGGACGGGACGCCGTGCAGGCCTGCCTCAAAACTGTGCAGATCCTTGTGTCATCGACGCGGGACAACAGGAAGGAGGGGCCCAGAATCCGTTGCCGTCATCTCGGGCACGGAGAGCCAGCTTGTCATTCGCACTTGCGATCCGTGGCAGCCCACGGGACGGGGCAAGGGTGAAGTGCAGATCAACACGCTGTCGCCAAGGTTGTCGGGGTCCGCAGAGTTGCAAGCCCCGGACATCGTGCATATCTGTCCGCAGAGCTGCCTTGGACCTTACGGGCCCTGGTGCAATCAACGCGCCAGGGTGGCCCGGTCCACCGGGTTGAGTGCCGACCTGTCTGCCTGCTCCACAATGTTGCTTGGCTTGGACTTTAGACTTGGGCTTTTGGACTTTAGTGTGCTCGCTACAACTTGACACATCGCAGCAAGTGCCTGCTCCGTTATTTGCATCAACTGTCTGCGCTGCTGCCGCGGATACGGCACTAGAGGCCGAGGGTGTAGAAAGGTGCTTGAACCTCGCGCTGGTCTCTTCCGTCCGGCTTCTCACGGAACTCGACCTATACTAGTCACGGCCATTCGGCATCCACAGGCCAATATAGATTGACTGTCCATGAGCCTGCGCTGCAAAGCCACCTTCAGATTGGCGCCGTGACTGCGCGGCGTCAGGAAGACGCTCGAGCGGCTGATGGCACGCAACAGCATGGAGTGTATCTTGTTCGTCGGGGCGGCTTCAATGAGCAAGAAAGACCTCCTCGACCGGCTGTTGGTGCTCCTTGTTTTTGCGTACAGTGTTAGTGGGTGATGCTTTTCGGCCCAGCCTGGAGCCAAAGTTGTAGTGGTTTCTCCGACCACTCGAGTTCATGACGCATTCACAACAGGGCTCGGGCTTAGCAACATCAAGCGAGCGTGCGCTGAGAACGGGGCTGCCTTAAGTGTGGTCGCTGACAATGTTAGTCTGGTCCAGTATGTGGCCGAACATCTACCGCACCTCCCTCGCCCAGGTCACTTCCGCGGCCCGGATGATGCACGTGCCCTGTTGCGCTTCTTTCGGGAGCGACGCAACGAGCTGCTGGGGGGGTTCATCGACTTGTTTACGACCACGGTGTGCGCAGGCTCGACTGGAGCCGCGGATATTTGTTTTGTGGACAACGCTGGGGGGAACCTATTCTTTTTTTTTTGGACCCTCTTTTTTTTTGCCCCCGCGTCCTGTTATTTGCACAGGGAAGGAAGGAAGCAAGGAAACAAGGCAGGAGGAAGGAAGGAAGGAAGGAAGGAAAGAAGAAGGGAGAGAAGGAAAGAAGGAAGTAAGGAAGGAAGAAAGCAGGGAGACAAGGAAGGAAGGAAGGAAGGAAGGAAGGAAAGGAAGCAAGGAAGCAAGGAAGAAGGATCGAAGTAAGGGAGGAAAGGAAGGAAGGAAGCAAGGAAGGAAAGAAAGAAGGAAGAAAGGAAGGACAGTAGTATGTCAGTATATAAAGTAAAGATGGTGTGTATATATATATGTATATATATATATATATATATATATGTAGTATACATAGTATATGTAGTATATAAAGTATGTATACTATGTGTATAGTATATATATATATATATATATATATAGTATATTTAGTATATATATATATATATATATATATAGAGTATATGCATAGTATATATACAATATATAGTATGTATATAGTATATATGCAGTATACATCTAGTATATATAGTTTATATACAGTATATATGATCCCGGTTCTCGGTTCACCGACCCCCCCCCCCCAAATGGTATCCCCCCCCCACGCTCCCCAAGCCGAATCTGTGTGTGACTGTGCAAGCTTTTTCCACACGAGGGCTCACACGCCAAGCAGACCCACGCAGGAAACCCAAACCACACCACACCACAGGGGGGAGTGGGGTAACCAGCCTAAGCAGACCCACTCCCGAACCACACCACACCACACCACACCACAGGGACAGGGAAGCAACCCACAACCACACCACACCACACCACAGGGGGGAGTGGGGTAACCAGCCTAAGCAGACCCACTCCCGAACCACACCACACCCACGCCACACCACAGGGAAGCAACCCACAACCACACCACACCACAGGGGGGCGAGGAGGAACCATTTGGGGGGGGAGGGGGGGGGCCGGCCGAACCGGGATCATATATATATATATATATATATATATAGTATATATATAGTATATATATATATAGTATATATGTATATATATATATATATAGAGTATTTATAGTATACTTGTAGTGTATACATATAGTATATATATATATACATGAATAGTATATGTAGTATATGTAGTATATATAGTCTATATAAGAGAACACAATCAATCGTGAAGGATTTATAAGGTTTGCAAATGGGGGGGCTGCCCCCCCCCAACCCCCCCGCTTTTTTTATAAACTAAACTCCCCGCTAAAGCAGCAAAGACAACAACAGCAACACTAACCACAGCCACAACCACAACGACAACAACAGCAACAGCAAGGTGGTGTAAGATTTCCCGACGGGAACCAAGAAAAATCACACCAAATCCGTCCAAGATGCAAGCAAAATAGTGTTTCTCTTGGGTAAAGCCAAGCAAAGGAAGCAAAGTCCAAAATGAGTCCAACATGTACGGCAAACGGTTTATTCCCCAGAACAACGCAAGGTTACGGACTCGTCGCTCGACGTATTGTAGGTTTTTTTGAAGAGAACCAAAGACAATCACACGAAGTCCGTCCACGATGGTGAAAAAAGGCGTCGTCCCGAGGAAAACCTAAGATAATGTACGTTGTACGCGAGTTAGTGTAGGTTTTCCCGCGGAAATCCAAGGAGACTTGCACCAAATCCGTCCAGCATGTAAGAAAAACACTGTTTTCTCTAAGGAAAAACAGGGAAAAAAGTGTTTTCCTAAAGCAAACCAAAGAAAATCACACCAAATTCGTTCACAACGCAAGGAAATGTTTTCCCTAGAAAAACCTAAGGAAAAGCAAAAAAAAAAAGGGCCCCCCCAAAAAAAATATAGGGCCCAAAAAAGTTTCCACCCACGCTGGGCCCTTCACCACCCATGGGAGGATGCCCATCAGCGCCTCACAGCCGGGGCGACGCGTCCCACGGGTCCCCTCATCGTTGCATCCCCGTCGCATTTCTGGGGCAACCTCGCCGCACTTGAACTGCAAGCCGTGTTATTTCATACGGACATACCATGGGACTCCCTGCACGCACAGTCGGGTTTGTATCCCAGTGGATTGCGACGCGAGCCGATGGCCGATCGCGAAGTGGAAAAGGAATTCTATACGCGCTGGTCAGTTAATTCGGTCCCAGCGTTGTTGGAAGCAACTTGCATCCTGTGTCATGTTGCCTATGAAGGTGGCAGCTCCTCTTGCGTAGTCAGGACAGTACGGCAATAGGTCGGCAAGGACGCGAGTGCCGGGTTCGGCACTTCTTGCCGGTGTTCGATACGGCCCATCCGGTGGCCGCAGTCCTCGAATTGGGTACCTCGCCGGGCCTCACCGCTTACCGGCTGCGACCCCATCAAGGGACAGGCTTTCATCCCCCAAAGCATGTCTATGACGCCCTTCTCTCGCCACATCATCGGCAGGCAGCCAGTGCACATATGCCAGTCGAGACGGCTGCTTCAGAATTCCGAGGCTTCTGGCGTCTGGGAGGGGGCTGGCACACTGATGGCTGCCCTCCCTAGTTTCTTCTATCTCAACACTATTGACCGAGACAGTGCCCCGGGATTTCGCAGTCCTTTTGCAGCGTTGCGCAAACCAGGTGTCTGCCCGGCATGGACGTCCTCGTGCCAACATCCCGGGCGTCCTCACAATCAGCTTCCCGCACGCCCTCTACAGCCCCGATGGCCATGCTGTGCCGGACCCGGCTCAGGGCAAGCCCGTCGTTGAGGATCCGGGGCTTGTTGCGGAATTTCTGCAACAAATTGCCTTGGTGCCCTGCCACGGGGCCATCGCTGATCCATGATCAGGCCTGCGCTCCTTTGGATGTGGGGTGGGGGATGTCATACTGATGTCTACCCACCCAGGCCATGTGGCCTTCCTGCCCTTGCCACCACTGCCTTTCGTCATGGACTTTTGAAAACAAGACACGAGGGCTGACCGTTGTCCGGCGGGATAAGAACGGCGGCCGGAGCCTTGATTTGGGTTCCACTCGTTGTCTTGGGTGACTTCGGACGACGGTCCACTGTTGCCTTAGCTTGAGGTCGCTGAGCGAGGCCCCTTTTTTACTTGCTGAACAGCTCCTGCTGACAAAGTCCGCACGCTGCAGCACGTACGTAACCTTGTTCGCTAGTGATTACGTTTCACCGCTGTTTTTGGAGTGTTTGTTGGTTTGTTTCATGTTTACTGGGACCGAGCGCTGCAGCTGCAGCCACCGAGGCCCGCCGACACCAAAAACACGTCTGCAGCCCACGACTTGGACGTCTCACCATGCTTCGCACCCAGCTGGGCTGGGCATGAGGTCTGCGAAGCCTGCGTCTTCTGTCTTCCTCTTTGTGGCTCCCCATGAGATTGAAGGTGCCGTTCCCACATGAAAAAACACTTTCTTTTTCGGTTTAGGGGCGCCGCACTGCAGGGCTGTGGTTTCTTACATGCCGCCAGACGCAGTTCCGCTTCCTTTGTCATACTGGTCCCTTCTTGCTGCGGCAATGCTGCACTGTGGTGCGAGGCCTCTGCCCTTTTCCACACCTCTGCCAAGAAGCCGTATTCTCAAGGCCGGCACACCGGCTGCAATTCGCGCACACAAAACTACAGTCATAGCCGAGTCATAGCGAAAGAAAGTTGCAAATTGGCAGGAGCGAACATGTAAGGCCTTCGTCTGTTGTCACGCATTGCGACGTCGTTCGAGTTCCATGCCTCCCCGCCTTTGTTTTGCGTCACACAGCTTCCAGATGCCATCAAGCCGCTTGCGGAACAGTGCACGTTGAGCGGATAGTGAATCACGCGGCAGCTCAAGCCCAAAAGGCTGACGCTGCACACCACGGACCAAACGGGTTGCAAAGCAATGTGAGCTCTTGCGACCAGCCTTTTTCTGACCGCACGGCTTCGGCAGGGTGTTCTTTTCCGCTGTTGCACTCGCAGCCGCCGTAGTCAGTGATGGTGTCAACCGAGGCCATGCAACATATCAAAACAGCCCGAGTGCGCTGGCGGGTTTTTTCAGACCATTTCGCTGATGTTTCTTTCTCAGGAGAAGATACATGCGGGCAAGCGTCATCACGGGAGTATAGAAACATAGGTAAGGATCGTACAGTATTGATTGCGCAGATGTGCTTGAAATATTTACTTTTGAAGCATGAGGCGAGGTTCCAACACTTTTTGATGGAGAGGACCGAAAGCTTGGGTCAAGTAGCAACATCATCGTAGCATAATATGAATCATACCTTCGTGAGAATGTTATTGTGTGTAGAAGTGGATCCTTGCTTGGATTTGCATTGCAGATGTCTTTAAGACAATGGCGGATATTTCTTTGCGCAAAGTAGGTTTTGCGAAGGTGGTTTGAGCTGATAGTCTGAGCTAGTAGACTGAGAGCTGTAAACTACGTTTGATAGCAGCTCCGACATGGCAACGAAAGTCTTCTCCAGGTCGCATGGTGTATGCTGCTCGTCTCTTGCATGGTAGGCTTGGTGCGTAGCACTTGTGTCGCAGGGGCTGCTTTGGAAGCCAAACTCAACTTTTGCTTGTAGTTTTGCAGCACCCACCTGCCTTCGACCGTGTCAAGCTTCTCCCTAAACCCTAAGCCCCAAGCTTCTTTAAGCTTCTCGGATCAAGCCGCAGCTGGACGCACTGTGCAGACTTGATGGCACCAACCGATAGCAGGAGCTCAGCTTAGTCGTGAGACTCATCATCTTGTTAGGGTTTAATATTCAGAGGCCCTCAAAAACCTTAAGCCGAAAAGTGTGATGTGGATAGGTTACTCGCGAGCAGCTCGGAACGACGGCATTGATCATACGAATGGTTGCTTTAGGATCCTCTAGTGCCGTGAAACTATAACATAAAATTTGGATGGCTGTCTCAAGGCTGCCGGCCACGTCTCCCAATGCACTGCCAGTGGCTTCCTACTCCAGGCTGAGCCGAGTTGAGGTATGCTGAGTTCGTGTCTGCGTGCATTGTTCCTCACGGCAATGTTGAAGTTCGGGTTGGTGCGATCCGGTATCGATTGAATTCAGTGTCCGTCGAACAGTCGGCGGCGAGGATGTCAGGTCGTGAACACCCTAAACCCTAAACCCTAAACCCTGAACCCTAAACCCTGGATTTGTAGTGCATAGCATCCATGCCAGGCCACGGAGCCACGGAGCCGCGGAGCCTCGGAGCCGACCCCTGGGGTTCCTGCTGACCGCTCAGACCTGGAATGGGCTGGTACTGTAAGCGATGGTCGCTGCCAGAGGGCCCAGGGCGGGCGTTAGGTATCAGGATCCTTCGGGGATCATCTGACAAGACTGAATGGATCAGCTAGGATCTCGAAGTGGGCATTGTCAGAGCTAGGTACATGGACACTCCCGCGTGCACACGTCCGGCTGCTTTGGGCATCACTTGATAAAGGATCGGGGGATCGTCGAAATCAAGTTGGAAGGATTTGTTTGACATGGGCACTGTAGGATGGCCCAGAAGACGGCATGTGGGATTCGGTTCCTGCGGGGATCATCCGATAAAATTCGATCGATGGACTAGAAATTGGCACTGTGAGAGGGCCCAGATTGCAGGCAGACAAGCACTGTCAAGAGATTCCTTCGGGGATCATCCGCGCACAAATGCCTTGCTCATGACAGGCCGTAGTCACCAGCCCTGGCATCGGCTGCTGCGGTGAAGGCTGGAATCGTGGCCATGACATGCTGAAGTAACCAGCATGCCCAGCCCTGGCCCACAGGGATCCCAACAAGGCTGGGATCCGACCCGACCTCCATTGATTTGCGAGGGTCGTGGCCAGCAAAATGATGTGAAGGAGTATGGGTTTGACCACTAAGGTTTCGGCTCTCTGAACTCTGGTCTGGCATTCGTCGACATAAAATCACTCATGCCTCCTTCATCTGCTCATCCAGGTCGATGCGCAGTTCATCCATCCCTTTACCCTTCCACAATGCTTCCGTTCTTGTGTTTGTTTGTTTGCTTGCTGGTTTGTTTGTCCAGTCAGTCGCATGTCTTGTTGCCTTGGGGATAGGTGTTCTGCATGCATCGGGGGCGTGTTGATCTGAGTTTCTTGATCCCGTGCTGATTTCTACCATGTTCGGTTTGTTGCACCATGATATGCCTGCTGTGGATTGATGAATCTTCCACACACACTTCGACTGGCGAGGTCTTTGAGCTGGTGCCTTTGAGGCATCTCGGAAGATGGCCGGCGCCCAAACCTCAAACGATTGAGGCTTTCAAAGTGGGGCTCTCTGGATCGAGGGTTCCCAGGTCCGAGGATTCACGACCTGTCAAGTGAAGGCCGCAATATCCGACAACATCTCGCTGAAGTTGTAGACGGGCTTTGGGTCAGGGCCTAGTGCTCCCTCGATACATAGAACCCGGCTATTCCCTGCAACCCAGAGCCTTCAAAATCCCTGTAACTAGGGAATACACTTTAAATTATAGTCGGACCCATTCGGACCCCTAGTAGGGTCTGCATCTCATCCGGGAGCCATGGCCTGCAACATGTTGTCTTCGCAGCCTCGTAGGTTGCAATCGCATGCGGTTGCGGTACACACAGCGAGCTCTCATGCTCTTATCCTGACTGAGGAGGTCGACATGGAAGATGCTGAAGGCAAGGTCATGCAGAGAGAGCTGCATTGCAGCAGGGCATGGCCAATGTATCAGTGTAGCCGCCGCATGCCAGCAGGCCACATTTAATTTCCGTGCCATGTGCTGCCGCTGCAGAAGCCGATTTTATCAGCATGCCTTCTTCGCTCAGCTCAGCCTCTTGTGGTACTTACAGACGTCTCGTTTAGGATTGCAACAGCTACCATGACTACGTCTCCAAAATTTCTTAGTTGTTGTGTTGTCATTACTATTGCCATAATCTTTGTCATTACTACTGCTGCCGTTCTTGTTTCCGCGAAGTTTGATCGACATGCATGCAGTATGTGAAGGCCTCACTTGTGGCTTCATCTGGCAAGCTGCCCAGTGGGCAGCGAATAACCTCTGTGGACAAGCTGCGGAAAAAGTCTCGAGCAGCGTTCACGAACCGTCTTTGCCGGCGGCAGCACCTTTAGGAACATGGTTGAGCACTGTCAGCGCAGGGCCGACCCGTGACAATTGGAGAGGGGGGAAGATTCTCACGGGTCTGCATTCTGCCCGACATCCGGCAACATCACAGTCCGTGGCAGCTGTTCCAAAAGGAGGAGCCGCAGAGACATGGTTGAGCACTGTCAGCAACAAATCTCATTCTGCCCAACAACCGGCAGCATCACAATCCGTGGCAGCTGTTCCAAAAGGACGAGCCGCAGAGACATGGTTGAGCACTGTCAGCAACAAATCTCATTCTGCCCAACAACCGGCAGCATCACAATCCGTGGCAGCTGTTCCAAAAGGACGAGCTGCAGAATTATGGTTGAGCACTGCCAGCAACAAACGTTGTTCTGCCCGACAGCCGGCAGCATCACAATCCGTGGCACCTGTTCCAAAAGGAGGAGCTGCAGAGACGTGGTTGAGCACTGCCACCACCGTTCCTGATTCTTCCCGACAGCCGGCACAGTCCACCACAGCGGCTCCAGAAAGAAGCGTTGCAGCATCACAGAAGAGTCCAAGACCTTCCATGGTCGGTGTCAAAAGCGCCTCATCTTCAGCCTCGGGAGGTCAGCCAAAGGGGCTCCGAGACCGGATAGCCTTCCCTGCGTTTGATGACATACCTGATGAAGACGACATCGATCATAAGCACTACCTTGTCAACGTCGGCGGCGGCGTGATATTACCGTGCAGGCACTGGTGCCTACTTGGCCAGATTGATGACGCCTGCTGTATCGTCAGGATGCGGATGGTTGCCCGGGATTGGAAGGGCCGGACCTTCAAGGTGCATGTTCACATTGAAGAGCACACGTCCACCCTCAAGCTTTTCGATATCAAGAAGGGTAACGTGATCGCACTCATGAACCCCGAGGCACATCGGTTCTTAGATTTTACAACTGGTATCAAGCTGGAAGCGCCTGACTCGGCCTTTGTTTTTCGATCGTCCTTGTCGCATTTAATCGAGGAAGGTCGGAAGATCTTGAATGGGCAGTTCTGCTTTCAATGCGGCAACCCAGCGAAGGAGAGTTGCAAAAGGTGCAGTGTTGCCCACTACTGCAGCCCAACGTGTCAGCACAAGCATTGGCAAGGAGGTCACAAAGAGCTATGTTCTCAAATGCTCGTGCTCAGAAATTTGCTGGACGCGGACCTTTCTGTCCCGCCATGTCAACAATATCACTCCTTCCGCTCTTTGGCATCCACTCGCAGCAATGAGGATGAAGTTTGCTTGGGAGACCTGCCCCGCTCGTGCTGCTGCGGCTTCCAGGACAGAGAGCTAAGCAACAGTGAAGAATGCATTGCGACAGGGTTGGAGAACCACGTGGACTATCCTCCTGCCTCCTGCCTTCCGCGTAGCGAAGATCCCAGTCAGCAGTACTATTACACGGTTGATGGAGTGCCTCAGCGCCACTGGGCAATCATTGCTGAGGTGGATGAGGTTGTTCACGATGGACTGCTTGTAGAAACGCGGTTTGGCGAGCAGGTGCATGTGATAGCCAGCTCTGGGTGGGACAAGTCCAGGTGGAGACCCGGGCATTGCATCATTGCATTCTACGCTGCACGTACTGGAAGACTGCAGAAGGGCGTGGTAGAGGTTGCTGTTGCCGAGAAGCATGCATTGCAAATCCACACTGAGACTGGGCTTTCAGGCTTGCTCAATGCAGAAGCAGGGGTCCTTGCGGAGCTTCCAACGCGTGAGCCAGAAGCCAGCGACACCTGCAGGAAACTT